GAGAACCATCGCACCTGACACTCTCATGTGCTTTCTAAACAATGCTCCAACTGAATTCCAGCAAGATCTCCAGGTTTATTAATAAGAAATCCAAATAAAAATCTTTGTCTAAACTTAGAAAATTAGAAATGTCCTAACTTGAACACAAAAGCCTCATTATTTTTAAAACTGTCAATCTGATTGATCAAAATCTATTTCACAATTATAACTTACAAAGATTACAGTATCTTTTTAAAACAAGTTTTAGGCTTTGGACTAGAGTTCAGTATATTCCACTTAAAATCATTCAGAAGGTCATCCATCAGAACTAATTTTGATTAACATACTCATTCAGCAGTATTTTTTAAATTATCATTTTATAGCTCTGTAATAAATATGTGTCATATATATTAAAGAATACAGTGCCCTTTGTGAACTGACACAAACATAATGACTAAAGATTTTTTTTTTTTTTTAGCTACATGAAATATGCTGCCTAGGTAAGATGTACAAAATTTAATTAGATTAAATAAGTGATTGTTCATTTCTTAAATGGCAAGTGTATATATGTATTTTACCATTTGGTAAATAACAACTATTTTAACACTAAAAATAAGCAACTAATCACTGGGAAAATATAAACTGACAAAAAAAAGATCAAAACTGAGACAAGACTGGCAGTCTTGACTGGCACGGCTTGAGCTTGTCAAAAAAGACAACACAGATCATAGAAGTATGGAAATAAAGGGCCTTCCAATTAAATATGGCAGAGAGAACCTGTACATTTAACTCTACTCTTTTCCAAAACCCCATTTAAGTTGTAGTAAATTAAACAACAAAAAAGAATGGAAGGAAGAAGAGGAGGAATAAGAAATACACAAAGAGAATGAGAAAGGAGATGACAGCAGATCAGAGACAGAAACAAAATATGGAAGATGTAAACAAGGTGGTAACAGACTTTAACAAAGCAAAGAAATCTGTAACACAACTACAAGCAGCAGGGAAAGCCAAATACACATACGTCAAAAGCGAAAAAAGCCAAGTAACTAGAAGCACCAGATACTTCTGAAAACCAAGGCTGTCCTGAAAGCAGGAGGACAAGGTTTATAATTAGCAAAATTGGACACACACGCACACACACACCGTTATCATCCCTGATCTCACACAGCCAGTCAATTCTTCGTCCCACACCTGAAAGAACACGAGAACTTCATTCTCTGGCTAGTGCTCTGCACCCAAACTACTAGGCGCAGCTGGAAAAGGTGAAGAGCTACCATACTGAGTTAAGTA